TAAGTAGAGGAGAAATTGTGAAAAGGGAGTTTTGGTCTCACCGTCTACTGCGCATGCTGGAGACTAGAGTTTGGTGTTGGTCAAGGCCAACCGTCCTGCATACTAACTTGATGATGCTCCTTGAAGATGGAACTCACATGACGCCTAAGGGATTTGCAGATTGGACAGTGCGATGAGGGTTACCAGGGTGAGGGGGTTGGTCACATATTGATATGTATGATTTTGCACATTTTGCCTCAGACCTTGCTTTACTTAGCTGCTATCTTTTCATAACCAGTAAAAGTACTCTTAATTCTGCAAAATGGAGTTAAGTGGTTTCTTTCTTGGTTGCTGAGGAAGGCCGGCTTGACAGGATCTTTGTCTTTGAGACTCCTAAACCTCTTGACAATGGAATAACTAGGCAAAACCATGTCATTCAGCCTTAGAAGATAATCTCTTCTGTTTTCTTGTCCAAATAGGCTCCATTGGTGAAATGATTGAGAAAGTCCATGTGTTGCAGGAAGCATCATCCTAAGATACTGAAACTTGGAGAGAATGTTCTCAGAGAGCAAGGTCAGCTGGACAACCTAAAACTACACTGCCTAAGGTCGGACTTAAGCATAGTACACACAATTATCCACTACAATGTCTTACCGGTCAATGACTATTACATCTTCAACCACAATAATACATGAGCACACAATAGATACAAACTTAAGATAAATCGCTCCACACCTGATTGCAGAAAATAGGACTTCAGCAACAGAGTGGTCACTGCCTGGAATGCACTACCTGACTCTATTGTTACATCCTCAAAGCCCCGATAACTTTAACCTTCAATTGTCTACTATTGACCTCGCCCCATTTCCTAAGAAGTCAGTAGTGGCTATTGTTCCTATCCTACTGTTCCCATTTATTTGTATTCATTTCATTCATACTCATGTTTATTTTTCTACCTATTGTCTTGTAAACAATTGACAAATCAAATGAGTCAAATAAATAAATAAACAAACAAACAAACCCATAATTAATATAAAATACGAGAATCAGGGATTACCAGATTATGTGAGGGCTGACTTTCCCACTCTATGAGGTTTGATAGAGAACAATGAAGTTGTGTGAAAACACACATTCCTATGATGGGATTCAAATTTTTTTACTATTGGTTCTGTGGGCGTGGCGTGGTGGGTGTGGTGTGGCTTGGTGGGCATGGCAGGGGAAGGATAATTTAAAATCCCCACTCCCTCCCCACCCCACTAACCTGCTGTAGGAAGGAATTGACCCCCTCCCAATTCCTTTCCTGAAATAAAATATTAATCATAAGAAAAGGCTCCCAGAAAAGAAAGGAAAAATCAAGCTGCTAACAAGAAACATGCCTGAGGCTCATTTCACATTCTGGCCAGCTGCCTAAAGGAAACTTTGTAACAAGAAAACAGCTACCGGTGCTTAGAGATAATGAGCCTATAGAAAGTGGAAGCCGGATATTTGGCTACATTTGCAAGCAGGCAAACAGATTGGTAGAAAACACATTCAAGACAGCCTGGGAAACAGCAAATAGATTGGGGGCAGGGCCCGCCAGAGGTGGCAATTGCAGGTTCTCCGAACTACTCAAAATTTCCACTACCAGTTGGCCAGAACCGGTCAGAACTGGCTGAATACCACTTCTGACACATTATCTCTAAGCA